GACGGTAAGAATTGGCTTACAGCCTTCCTGAAGCGGAAACCAAGCTTTCCAATACGCACACCTGAAGCCACGGACCTCTCGAGGGCGATCTCGTGCAACAAGACAATGTCGGCAAGTTCTTCGATATATTGAGCGACCTTTATGAGCGCGGGAGACATTTGGAACTTTGAAAAAACCGCCAGAACAAAGCTGCAGAAGACAGATCGTGTGGTCGGTGCTCATTGGATTGAGTGCGGCGCCGGCGTTGATTCAAGCGCGCGGACAACTGTGGTGGAAGGCGGAATACAGCGCACCGCAGTTTTGAGCGCGGAGGCGGATTCGGGCGCATGGCTATCGGAGCGCAGCGTTTATTCGTGCCCTCGGGGCGATGGGAGCGCGGTCCAAAATGAGCGCAGCGTTTATTTGAACTCCAGAGATACAGGAGACCTCTTACCGCTCAGTTTCCATTTTCAAAATTGAGAAATGACCCGAATCTCGATGCTCCATGATATCCCATCATACATTATTGTTTATAGTGTCTGCAAATAGATCGAGCTTCAAGGGCTGAATGATGGACAAGTTGGATTTTTCCCTGATGTACATGTTGTCGAAAATACGTCGATGAGCCCGGCGCACATGACTTCCTAAACTACAGAGTTCTTTTGAGTTTCTGCAAAATCCTAATTCCTCATGAATCTGTGACTTGGTAGCAATAGATTTTAAATGAGATATTGTGCGCGATCGCTTCGTGAAAATCCAGCGTCCGCCGTTGATCATCGGATGACACAAGATTTTCGAGCCTCTCGATATGGTCTCGGTATCGCCCCTTCGGCAAGGTGTCAGATCCCTGAGCGAGGCCATTGTTCACCATGAAGGCCGTCTTAGCTTGTTCAGTGATCAAGATTTCAAAATATCCGACCAGAATAGGATATGGAGAGCCTACTCTTTCAGAGACCGCTGAGTCCCGAGCCTCTACTGCGTTATCAGTTCGCGCTGTACCCTCCAGAACTGAGCTATGAACGTTCCACGATTCGTGCTTCATGCGAGGTTTAGTGCGCTCCCGCCCCACCCATGCGCTTCCGAAATATGGTAATGTGACGAAACGCTGCGCTTTTCGCTAGGCTGCGCTCATATTCGCCTCAGCGCTGATTCAAGCTCCGCGCTCGGAAACAGGGATCGCTAGAGTTCGCCACCGCACTCAAACTAACAGCACGGTCAAGGTGACGGCGCGCTCAAAATCGCTCTCACGCTCAATTCTATGCTCGCGCCTCGTCTAAGCCGCGCTATATGGAAGAGACACAACACTCGTGACCTTGGCGATCGCAGTTCCCGCGACGTGGAACAAGATTCCACCTTTTGACGTGAGAACGTCTCCGGATTCATTCGAGTTACCACACGAATGAACTTCGTCCTCCATGCAGCGAAAGCTTTATACGCTTTGCGGCGCCAGAAGTCCTTTGATGCGCGACGCAACGCGACCGTTGGGAGCTTCGAACCTCTTCTGTTTGTCTCCACACAGGATATTTGTCTTCTCAATTTCGGAGTGGAGCCTCAGTGGGTGGCTGGGTCTTCCGCACCGATTTCTGCATACATAGCCCGAAAAGCTCAGGAAACTCGTATGAATTGGCGATTCTGAGAGCAAAGATGAAATGTTTACAGTCTGCGCCGTATTTCCCGGATTACTGAGAACTCATCAGAACGCAATCTGCCGATGCATCAATGCCAGCCCCTATTGATCGAAGTCGTTTAGTGGAAGGGGAGTATGAGGACCAAGGACCGAGGTAAGAATGCTAATCTCGCATTTTCCGTCCGATGTCTGCAGTATCGCTCACTGATATAGTCTGTAGGCGGGCGGATAAGTTGGTGGAGTCAAGTATGGAGATCGTCCCTGTTGTCGATTGTCGCTGATGAGGATATCAGCGTTTTCGAACCCTGCCGAAACGATTCCGAAGTTTGTAAGACATTCAAGATGCAAGCAGCGTTCAAGGGTGAGGGGATATAGTATCCGCCCGAGCCGACAGTTCCACCGAAAGATGACTTTGCGTTCAGCAAAATGCTTGAGAAAAACATCATACTTAAGTCGTCGTATTTGAGTGGATCCGTGAAGGAATCCGTTGTCAGAGCTTGGCTCACACTTCTAATAGATCAGCCCTCAACAAACCTTCAGGCATAACTGTCGAATCACGAATTCTTCTCATTTTAAGGAGCCGATGGACGTCTCCGATGATGGATTAGAGGTTATTGATTCGAGTACGGGATCGGATTCGGCGTTGCGGAGCGCGCTCCAACACGCAAGGTTTTGGAATGAGAATCATTGTTTGGACTTTGCTCCCGGTCAGCATCGAGCGCCAGAGAGCCTCCAGTATAGAACGCACGCGGAGGAATCGTCTATACCTGCAATCTATTCCGGGGAAGGTCGCCAAATCTTGACGGAGAGTCTCATCGTCCTCTCCCGAAACAACCATCGTATCCGATGATCAGAGTGAGGCGATCAAAAATCTTGAAGAACGGTGGATGAACACAGGAATCGGACAAGAACTAGACGACTTATGTTAGAGATTGTTCGCACGTGCACCGATTCCCCTGCAGAGAATCGCGAAGCGCATGAATATATGTATATCGAGAGTCCCATTTTATTCCCGCAATGAGCATCTGTTTCCCACAGCGAAGTTCTTGGACCTTTTCACGCAATAAGTAGTGTCTGAAAGACTGCTCCTCTAGATTTCTTTTCCGTATCCCAGCGTGTCCATTCTCCAAGGATCATTTGCTCTCAACCGCCCCCACAAGGGAGTGCGGGATGCGCCAATTCGTCCGCATGGATGGAAGAGGGACATAAACGGCAGTTCGTTCTCCACGCCAAATCCTCCCTCGAAAATCCGCGTCTGCTGCGGATTGATAGCGACAGCCCGTGGTTCAAAGCATTTATAACTTTTTTATTAATTTTGAATAATTAACGATTTTATTTTCCGAATCTTTCAATTCTTCTTGTTCTTTTCCAGCGAGGAGACGGACTGAAAGAAGAATCGGAGAAAAATATTGATACATGATAATTAATGAAAAAAATTTAAACGCTTCAAACCACGAGCATGATTGATAATCATCGATCGCACCTCTTCCCGGACAGACCTAATTCCTTGAGAGCAAACGGCGCGGGGTCGCGGATCTGGCTTTCCCCGCACACTGTAGTCAGAAACTACAACGCCTCGAGCAGAACATCGAGTCAAGCTCCTCCGTGAGTGGCGTTCCGGCATTCAACCCCAACACGTTCTGCGATCGCCGCTAGACGACGTGCAGCCACCGCCGAAAGCAGCTCCTGAGTTTGCAACCCACGGCGGCCACCGGAGGCAGCGTGCGATTCTCGCTGACTTTGAAAATCCATCCGAGCAGTGAGCGGCGATACTGAATCGGTGTTTCGCATCAAAAAAATCTACATATGATCAGTGATCATATGAACGTCTTATCGTCTCCTTCGCAGAGAGCCTCCCAAGCCCGGCTGTCTCTCGTCCCGCCGGCGCCGTGTTTCATAGGGTCCCCGCCAGAGGTGAGGAGAGAGAAAAAAACTGAAACTCCCGACGGGGATCCGATGCTGACGAGCGGGGTGAAGCCAGTGGGAACGAGCAATTGGGAGATCATCGCTCTCAGGATATCACGCGGGACGTCATGTCATCGAGGACAATTCAGAGGTCCATCTTCATTACAGCCTTCGGTTCAACGCTGCTTTCATGACGGGAGATGGACCCTACCTGCTGACGCGGACGACGAGCTCAGAAGTATGCTTCTCTCGGAAACCTCGCCGACTCGCCACATAGCCCCGCGTTATAAGACACGTCCGAATTCGTGGAGAATGATATCTGGATGATAGCGATCAGCTCACCGCTCGGTAGAGTATTTCCGATTGCTCTTATCAATGTCAGCAATCGAGGACTTTTTCGAGTGTGATTTCTTGCCCCCCCCCCTTCTAGAGGCTTTGAATTATCCGCGGACCGCGATTTTCCCCGCAAATCTCCCTGGTATTCCCTCTCTACGTAGAGATCCGATCAAGGCCGTGAATGCCGACGGAAATCGCTGCGAAAAATCAAGGCCCCATCCATGGTCGACGATTACCGATAGCTGAACGGAGCCTCCTGCGTTGAGCCGAGAGGAGGTGTACCAGTCTCTCGTGGGGATGGTGTCCTCTGCAACGAAGTTGACATCGATGGAATGAAATGATATCGCGGGAAGAATGGAGCCACAGAATATTCGAATTGAAGGGTCATTCCGCATCAGGGGCAAGGCCAGATTTCCTTCTCGACAAGGGTGGTTTCTTTCTTCTCTGTAGCTCGCCGCGATTGGATCTTTTGGGATTCCATGGCTCACCGCTAGCTCCTCGAGCCTACTGAATGTGCTGAGCTTGCCAGAGACTCGTACTCGATAGCGTATCTCGAATTTGCTCTCCTGCCTCATTCCTATCCGCGGGCACTTCCATATCTCTGTTTTTTTTAGCTGGAGCCGTGGGGCTTCTTTAAAAGTCAGATGCCGATAGATGAGGTGATAAGCTTGCCGGGAGCGGTCGGGATATGCTGCGGGGAACTCAGCCCTTCTCCTTCCTACAAGCTGCCTTCAGATCCATCGAGCCGGTTCCGGAGCTCGGACGGAAAGCTCATGTCCTGGTTTGACGGCCCTCCGACTCCTGAAGAAGAAACCAGGATGCTCCTCGCCGCATTGATCTGTAAATCACCCTTCCGCTATCCTTCCTTGCCACCGGTTTCTGCACTGCGCTCCGATTCCTCCCCATTGTTTTCGAACTCATCGACGTTCCCTCCTTGCAGAGCTACCGTCTTACAATTAATTATACACAACCGTGATATCATGGGCCCCAGACTGAACCAATTTCCGGCGGTCGATCCCGTTCTGTCAGTTCGGATCGATGATTCATGCAAAAAGAGAAGAGCATGGCGACTGTGGGAAACTTTCGCGCTCTCTCGATGTAGGTGGAAAGGACGCTACAGGAGCTTCATATATCCAGGTGTGGTTCGTGAATAGTGAAACTCGAGAACTACTCGACAGGTTTGCCTAGAAGCTTGCCGGCCGACCGGAATCCTCCTGGTGGGAAAGGTCAGTATTCCGATAGGTCGAAAGTCGTAGAGGTTCTCGGCATTGGTTATTGGTTATTGCATAGCCCGAGGACGCTAGGTCGTGGCTCAGGCGAGATGGATCTCTTCCTCGCCTTGGACTCGGTCGGACGTCGCGAGTTCTGTAAGTCGTGTGCAAGCGACGTGGTGTCACGACGAAGTCAGATATCCTCCTCTGTTCGAAGTTTTCCCCACAACTCATCATCCGCTGAAATGTGTCGCATGAGCTCGTCAGTCCCAAAAAGGCGATTCCGGGAGGATCGATGCGTCCTTTTTTGGACGGCGCCGGCGGTCTGAATGTACCTGATGTGAGGAAATCCTCCCAACCTGATCGATGAAATCTTTGTTCATCTCAAAATATGGGATCCCGCCCGGGAGGATAAGTTCCTTTGAGCACTAGAGAAACAAGAGGCACAGATACTTTTGATAACTCGAACAGTCGCGAGCTATGCCCTACACTTCACAGAGCTCGCTTCCGTGTATTTATGTTTGGAGTGCTGTTAACACACACAGAGCAAAGCGCTCGTCGCTGCTAAGTGGATTATGGATCGACATCGAATCATATCGATCCACTCCTAATAGCATTTCACTCGGACGGACGAATGAAAAGTGTTGTTTCTGGGCGACTCCCAGAAACACTGCCCCGTCCGCCTGAACTCCTCCCATTCTCATGGAAATATCGTTGATATCGCAAATCGAATAATAATAATTTTATAATCAGTGCTGTCTCCGAGCATGTTGGGCGGAGGCCTCTCAGGCCCTTGGATGGACTCGCTCCTGAGCCTCTCCCGGATATGGTCAAAATACTGGAGCTCTTCGCGAATCCCCTTTCTCGATGCTCGACGACGTCATCCTCGGTATTCCACAGAGAATTCTCGAGAGACGATTCCCGACCCATAGATAAAGTGCGGTAATGGAAGGTGCCCTGTATTTTCAAAGCATAGACAGGCATGGGAGTCTGATTTTTCCTGTCCAAACCCTGCGGAGAACATTTTTACCCGGGTCGTCTCCGCACTTCTCGAGATGCAGGAGCATCCGGATAGCTTGAGACCTGATAGCGCGGCTGTCCATCTTTGTCTATAGCCTACGCGTCCATAGCGCCGAGAAAAGATTGAACACTCGTGAATCTTAATGAATAATGGAATCTCTTCAGTTGACATCACATAGATTGTTTAAGTTTCTTCTCGTTTGCAGCATTGAGAAGACTTGTCGGGCAGCATGACGGGAACCGATCACAAAGCTGGACTCAAAGACTCAGTTCCGAGGGAGAAGCTCGCGGGCTCAACGAGAAAATACAATTTCCCCAATGAAGTCCGGGCGGAAATCTCACACGGGCGGCTTGGATTGTGGACCTTAGCCACCTTTAGGAATTATTCACGGTGAACATCATAAGTCCGGCAGTAGCTGAGCGGCGTGCATAATCACAACTTTCGACCTTGACTCTGACTGAGCGAAGCTACATCTTGCAGGATAATATGGAATGGCTTCCGCGGAGGAATCCAACTCAAAGATCTGGTGCCGCTGCAAGAAACGCATTGCTCTAGATACTGCTGGGAGGCGTTCGAGGCTTCTTGGAATCGGAAACCAAAGTGGGTGTCATGGACGATCTTTGTCTAAATTCAAAGTACAGCTGCTGGGCACCCCCGATGTCGACGTCTGAGCGCTCCATAATCGCGTCCTCATGAGCTGCGAAGATCGTTTGTTAACCGTTTCGAGCTCGGAGAAATATTGGTCCAGCTTTGTGAAGCTGACTAGCTCATGAGGAGGCTTTCAGAGTCGACATTGGGGAGCCCGGTCTATCGAAATATCCACCGTGACTGAGTCCGACGTATTCCCCCCTGGAATAGACTATCCCAATTGACCAGACGCCCAGATGGGGGCCGTCACTGAGTTGAGACTCGCATGAGGCCCATTAAGTAGAGCATGCTTGTGAATATAAGCACGGCCTCCATTCCGAACAATTACGAACTACGATATTCATGCTCTCGAGAATTGATGAGCGACCTCGATGACCGCGGTATGACATGAAACAGGGCGAGATAAGCCGAGACTCCGCATTCATTCAGAGGTTCGGCACTTGAAAGAGACGGACTTTGCAGGGACGAGACGGGTCTTCTCCTCAAGGATCCCAAGGGCAAATCATCCACGGGTTCGTCGGTGCAGCCTTCACGGTCCATGTTCAGAACACTTCCGAGAGCTTTCTGGGATTTTATACTGTACAGCTCCCTATGGGAGCTGGCTTTCGATATCGTCCGTCTACTACCCGTCTTCGTGCTCAGGTGTGGCCTAAGATCTCAAGCATGTGACTCAAGCGCGATACTTCTGCGATAATTCTTTCTTCATTCTTACGGATCTCGCCCCATGATCTCTCTCAATGCTCGAGGGATTTCGACCAGCTTCCTTTTCAGTAAAATGATTGAGTTCGTCGGATCTACAGAACCTCAAATCGTGGGCTATCAATACTGTGCCTTGCTCTTTGCAAATAGTGTGATGGTGTCCTTGACGATGAACTGGATGATGCATGCCTGTTCCTCCGGCAGCGTTCAAATACGCTCTGCTCTGATCGAAGCCATATACCGCAAGGCAAGTTACTTGGGATTCGCCCGGGGGTAGGGAGGCTGAGGGAAATCCTGCCCGAGGTTCTCATTGAGGAAATGTCCCATCACTGATGATTCAATTTGCAGAGCCTTCACTCTTCGAACGCGGCCGGTCAAGGATTCAAAACTGGTGATCTCTTGAATTTGATGTCGGTCGATGTGGATACAGTGTTCGAATTCGTACAACATTCGACTTTGACATGGGGGACGGCTGCCAGGATCCTGAGCTCTCTCGCCATCATTTGGTTCCAACTGGGACCGTCGAGTCTAGCTGGACTTCTCATGATTATCGCGTTTTTGCCACTTACTGTGTTCCTGGGCAGAGCCACCGCGCGATTCCAGGTGAGCCATCGATTCCGTCCTCTCCCCTTATCTCCGGCTACCGCGAATACGCGTGGAGCGCAGCCTTCAGATCTCTTATTGATCTCTAGCAACGACAGTTGACCGAGAAGGACAAGAGGTTGGACGCATTGAGTGAGATATTCTCAGGGATAAGAATCATCAAGTTATTCGCATGGGAGATCCCTTTCATTGAGAAAGTGGAGAAAATTCGTCGAACAGAGGCGGGTTGGATTCGGAAGAACCTCTTCGGTCAGTCCGCCATTATGTTGCTGTGGTACTGCGGTCCCTTCTTGGTGAGTTCCTTCTTCCTCGAGATTTCTGAAGTCTTCGTTTCGAAATCCAAAAATGAGAGCCCTCCGAGGTTGAGAAACGTATTGCTCGAGGATGAGTCTCTTCAAAGGTTCCGGCGGCTGCGTTCGGAGCGTACATCATGATCAACGACGAGAACATATTGACCCCCGAGAAAGTCTTCGTCTCAGTGTTCTTGTTCAATAACATGAGGTACGCACTCACGAGATTGCCGATGATCCTCACCATGCTCCTGAGGGTCATGGTATCTCTGAAACGCATCGGAAACTACCTTGAAATTCAGGAAATTAATAGAGACGACATCACTGATCACGTAACGAATGGTATGGCACATGGGGAGCATTCACACGAATTAAAGTTCTCTCTTCTCCGGAACAGCGCTGATTCAGAATGTCGTTCCGATATGCCATCAACATTATCCTCTAGATTCTCCGCGATACCTACATATCAACTATATCCTCCTCCCGGTTCCAGGCGAAGATGTACGGTTCCGGGACGCAGACATCAGCTGGGGCGGCCTCAAGCCTGCTCTGAGAGAGTTGAACCTCACGATTAAATCGGGCGAGCTCGTCGCAATAGTCGGCCGCGTTGGTTCCGGCAAATCATCTTTACTGAGCGCGATTCTCGGCGAAATGAAAAAACTCAAAGGTTCTATAGATGTCGCGAGGGTAGGCGAACCGTTTTCCTATTCCACTCACGGACAAGCTTCAACTAGACCTGACCTGATCGTTGAATTATCAGGCTGTCATATCCTCAGAAACGCATCGCGTACGTCCCGCAACAAGCCTGGATCCAGAACGAAAGTGTGCGGCAGAACATCCTCTTCACTCGATCTTACGAGCCGAAATGGTACAGGGAGGTCCTGAAGAAATGCTGTATGGAGCCGGATCTCCAGCCTTTCGAAGCAGGCGATCTCACGGAAATCGGAGAAAAAGGCGTCAACCTATCGGGCGGACAGAAGCAGAGAGTCAGCCTAGCTCGAGCCGTCTATCAACGAGCCGGCATCTATCTTCTCGACGATCCTCTCAGCGCAGTCGATGCTCACGTTTCATCGGACCTTTTCCATAATGTTATCGGACCTCGAGGTCTCTTGAGAAATGCGACACGGATCCTCGTCACTCATTCTGTAGCGGTTTTGCCCTTCGTCGATAAAATATTTGTACTCGACAATGGCAAAATTACGCATTCTGGCACATTCGGAGAAATAATGAACACGGACGTTTCGATCAAGTCGTTCCTCACCGAGCCCAGGCTCGGGAACGAGGAATCCGTCAAAGAGTTGGCCGACACCGTCCGCCACTCGAGAAGTTTGAGTCAGAGATCTGTCACATCGGAGAGAGCCTTAGATGCCGCCAGAGATGAAAAATTCGGAGCGCTCATCGATGAGGAGAATGTGGCGACAGGATCTGTACAATGGTCGATATACATGAATCTCTGGAAGCACTTCGGAGCGATCAACGGCATTTTCGTGTTCGTCGGCTTTTGCCTCTACCGTTTCTTAGAGGTGAGTCTTTGCTCACAGCGCCCTCTGAAAAGTGCTCCAGATATAGTGATAATAATGCACCTTAATTCGGAGAATGAGGGGGGTGGTTTGGCGAAGAATATAAGTACAGACTTGAGAGTCTCGTCACCCTCGATGATTCTTCTAACGATACGCCCGGCGTAGAGATTATTGACGATGTTCTCCGATCTTCTCGATAAGGACCCATCATTCATTTGTTCGGTGCATCCCGTGCTTGTCTCAAACTTTGAAAGTCATTGAACTTTGATTTCCAGACCTACTCGTCGATCTGGCTGGCTCAGTGGGCTGACGACGCCGAAAACATCATGAATAATCACAATGTGACCAGGGCGAATCCCGAAGTTTTGCATGAAATCCACGTTATGTCTTTTTGGCGCATCACGCGCTACATGTACCTCGGGGGAGGACAGGCTCTTGCGATTGTAATTGCATGTGTATTTATCGCTTTTGGTTGTCTCGAAGCCTCTTCGAAACTGCACTCCGAAATGTTGTGGTGCCTCATGAAGGCGCCGATGCGATTCTTCGACTCTACACCTCTCGGTCGAATGCTGAATAGGTGAGTTGGATCAGCCATCGTGCACACTCGACAAAACACGGAAATTCGAACGGATGCATTTTCATCAAGCGGTTCCAGGGGAAATCTTCTCGTCCTTCACTCCTCCTCTGCTTTCCAGATTCGGGAAGGATGTCGATGTTCTCGATCTCGAACTGCAAATACATCTCGACGGATGGGTTGATTCTTCGATCCAGGTTGTGGCGACCATGATTCTGATCAGCCTTGAGATCCCCATTTTTCTCGTCGTCGTGATTCCGATAAGCTTCGCTTACTACATGCTCCAGGTGGGAGCACTCTCGGGATAGACGGAAGAGAAGTCTGGACAGAGATAATGGGAACGGTTTCCGGATATTCTTCGGCGGAGCCTCCTCACTAACACTGCTGGTCATCTTTTCCACAGAGGGTTTACATCGCCGCTGCTCGCCAGTTCCGCAGACTTCTTTCAACCACTCGATCACCCGTCCTCAACAACTTCTCCGAGACAATCAATGGTGCTTCAACCATAAGAGCATACGGTGCAGAAGATTACTTCATTGAAAAATGTCGGATCCGCTCGGATCTCAATCAGAACTGCTATTTGCACTCGACAATCGTTTCGAGGTCAGAGAAGTCTCTCCTGTATCTTACACCCAAAGTATCTGCACCTGTACAATGGATAACAACAGTGAATGATTCACGAGATCCTCAACAAATCTTCGACAGATGGGCCGCTATCCGTATCGACTTGTTGTCTACCTTCATAACGACGAGCATATGCTGTCTCGTTGTATTCTATAGAGATTCAATGAGCGGCGGAGTTGCCGGTCTGATCCTCTCGTACTCCCTGCTCTTCTGCGACGCTGTCTCTTTTTCGATCCGAGTGGCGACCGACGTGGAGAAAGCCGTCGTCGCTGCGGAGAGAATCAAAGAGTACACTCAAGTCGAGAGCGAAGCCCCTTGGGAGGGAACCGAAGGTGCGAAACTCGATGGCGAGTGGCCACGAAATGGAGAAATCACGCTGACGGACTTCAGCACCAAATACAGGTGAGAGTGGCTCCACTTAAGACGATTTGAGAACACAACGAGAAGAATTCGAGTCACCCTCTTCGCGGAATGACTTTTCAGGAAGGGCACTGAAGAGGTCCTGAAAGGAATCAATCTCCGTATAGGAGCCGGCGAGAAGGTAGGTGTCGTCGGCCGCACCGGAGCAGGCAAGAGTTCCTTGACTTTGGCGCTGTTCAGGATAATCGAGGCCACTCATGGGAAAATCGTCATCGATGATATCGATACATCGAGGTATGTTGACTAAAATTTAGGTCTCAAGAGAGCGTTTATTGTGCCGGAGCGAAGATATCAGGATTCGCCCTCCAGGATTGGACTCCATGATCTCCGGAAAAGGCTCACGATGATCCCGCAAGATCCCGTGCTGTTCAGGGGGACGATTCGCTCCAACTTGGACCCACACAATCTCTATACCGACGAAGAAGCGTGGACGGCTCTGGAGAAAGCCCACTTGAAAAATAATCGATTGAGGCTCGACTTCGAGGTGACTGAAGGTCAGTTAATCCGAAGGAACACGTGACTAACTGAGTGTTGCTCTTCGAAGTATCGGTGCATCTCCGTCCGAATTCCGTTGACTAATCCGTCCTGGCTTTCCGCTACAGCTGGAAGCAATCTATCGGTCGGTGAGAGACAGTTGATCTGTTTGGCTCGCGCCCTCCTCCGCAAGTCGAAAATCATTCTTTTGGATGAGGCAACAGCAGCCGTGGACGTTCAGACGGATGCGCTCATACAGGAGACTATCAGGAGGTATCTCAACGATCCTTCCTACGCATGAATGGGAGATTTCTTCCCGTCAGCTTGTATCGTATCTAAGCCGTTGCTCATAATATGTATATCGGATATGTTTCAGGGACTTCGCTCAGTGTACCATCATAACCATAGCCCATCGATTGCACACTGTCATTGATTACGACACAATTGTTGTCTTGAGCCAAGGTAGAATAATAGAAGTTGGCAAACCTGGAGATTTGTTGAAAAATCATGAATCTCATTTCCACTCCATGGCCAAGGAAGCCGGCTTAGGATGAACGAGACAACAACGATCACGACATGAATGATGATTTCCGTCATGATAGCTCGCTGACTGAGTGAAAATCGTTGGTCAGGGAGAGTCTTGGCGAAATTCGAGCTTGACTGCAATTCATCGCATGAGAACTTTCTTAGCATCAGTTGTTCATTATCATCCACGTTCGGACCCGTCCCTTAGGTTCATGCATAACTCACCGGAGACTACCTTCGGTAGCTCGGATATACCACCTTGGTGAGCGCTTGAATCCGAATGTTGATGGGATGTATGTCGCAGAGCGGACTGGGTATAAAGGTTTTTTTCTTAAAGAGCTCAGCATTCTGCAAGCAGGGGGTATCGCGATGGACATTGTGTACCCGGGACCTGTATTCTAGAATCAAACAGTATTGGATTGAGAATGAGTCTGCTCGTGAATGAAATGTTTCGAGGATTGTGTTGTGGGTGCGTGCCCAGCGGACATTCTTGACGTTCGAAAATAGCCTGAAGCTGTTCGGCGCAAGAACTAGGCACTCCAGTCTCTTAGGTTTTGGAATTGGGCAAATAAATGGGAGGGCTCCGCCGAGCGAAAGGAGAGGTCCCGCAGAGCATGAGAAGACTGATGAAGTGATATGTCTTGATTCTACACTTTACTAGCGGTATCTCCCACCTGAAATGCAGAATATTGGGGGTAAGAGAACTGTTGGGGGAAAGAATGTACGCAGTCCGACCGGCCGACCGACTGGCGCGGGAAGTATCGGGCAGGAAAGAATCACAATTTTCCCGAGATGCGTTAGTGAGGGATTTCACGGATTTCTTTGAGGTCACCACGAGATCGAATGTTCCTTCAAGTCAAACATTCGGTATCATCTCGTCCTGCATGGAACCCTCGCTTTCATCGAAAGAATGCCCCCTGGCGAAGAGCACACCGACTCGACAGCACACCGAGATGGGTTCGGACTTAAAGGATATGAGAGAGAGAGATAGACATCCAAATTGCACGAGGATTCGCCGCTTTCCGAGCGATATTCATACGTTTCCGAACTTGCACATGAGTCCCGGCATGGTTCCCGTTCTAACAGAAAAATACAGCCAGTCCCTCTTTGACCCGTTCAAGAACGGCTTCGAAAAAACGGGTTCCTTTTTCGCGCGGAAGGGTTCCTGAACGAAAGAGAAGAGAGAAGGGGCATAACCAGAGGCCTCGTACGAGGACGAAACGGTGTCAGAACGACATCCCGCTCTTGCTCGATTAATATGAACACTGTGAGGAAATTGCATTCAAGCATATATTTAGGCGTGACAATCCATTGTTCGGAGAAAATCCGCGTCATTGAAAGCTATTCCTCCGAGCTGATGACTCTCTTCGAATCAGCGGAATCATCGACTCTATTGGCGGCGCTCCTGTCTGCCTCGGATTGATTCGGCGTCAGTTAGGCGGATGTATTTAGTTTCTCTGACTACCGACGGTACGCACCAATCTGGTCCGAGAGGCACCTCTCTGGGCTCCCGGATCGCACTACCTATGTAAATAGAGTTGAAAGTATTCTGAAAATGCCGAACGTTTCCTTCCACCATCTCTGCTACAGTAGAAGCTCGTTACTACGAACACGAAGGGACCGACGAAATTGGTTCGTTGTACCGAGTTTCCGCTGTGACGAACGCCGCTCAACACTATCCCTATGGCGAGTTGGCCAAAGGAGGAGAAATTCCTTGTTCGTTGTACCGAAAATCTTGTTGTAATGGGGGTCGTTATAACGAGCTTTTACTGTATAACCACGGCCTGCACCTTGCGGTGACAGACACACTAGAAACGGCAACAATCGGACCCGAGAGCGGGACCAGAGGTCTCATTGAAATTGTCAGGAGCCTTTGTAAGGAGACGAGGAAGTCTAGAATAGCGAAGGGACCCGGGAAAAAAATAGGTTTGACCGCTATTATAGATGTCGCCATCAGGTGGAATAGCACATGCGACATGCTGGTGCGCTTCTTGCGCATCAGGAGCGCACTCGAGGAAATCTTTGACCGTCAAGACCGTGAGTTCCCGCTCACGAGAGAGCAAGTAGGGGAGCTAGACCACATCGTGGAAGTGCTGCAGTTGGTGAAAAAAGCGAGCATGGAGCTATCGAGAGGAAAGACGACCCTCCTAGATGCCGACGTCCTCCATGAGGTATCCGGAGTTCCCCCTTTTCTAATCTCTCCAAAGGATGCCGAACGCTACATCAGAGCTGCTCGACCTCACGTCTTGCGAGAATTTATGCATTCGCTTCCTTGTACGATGTGCAATTCATTTACGGAGCTGTGTGCATTGCCGAGTCGACACATGCACATTCTTGACGACAGACACATCGCGGCGCGGCATGCCCTAGAGCATTGACTCCTCACGAGCATAACTTCAGAATTTCCTTCGCCGCAGAAATTACCTACTCAAGGATCTCGACGACAACCGTTCCCAGCTCTCGCAAGTCCTCAAGGCAAATGTAATACGTCGGATCATTGAGCGACGCGGTGTAGCGTCGAAGCTGGTCAGGTTCGTCTATCCCCAAGCGGGTGTGGAAGCCGAAGACTTGCGTCTCGACAGACGCCTACGCTTCTTCGAAGAGGAACTTCAACTGGCTGCAAGTCGGATGACGCCGATGAATTGCAGCGTTGACGAAGAGTTGCAGAGACAGTTCCTACAGTGGCTCCGGAGTGGGGGGACGCGAGGCGGCGAACGAGAAGCGGAACCTTTGTGCAAATCTCTGTGCGCAACGCGGGAATCTCTGGAAAAGCATCATGACTCATCACACTCATCATCAGATGTACGAGCACATCGCGGCTCTCTTTCCCGCAGAGATCAAGCGCAGCGTGGACGGCATTGTCCCCACGAGTGTTGCACCCGATAGGATGTTCAGTAAAGCGCGTCACTCCTGTCAATACTGTAGGGGACGTTTGAGTCCGAAGACATTCATGGACCTGATTTTACTCAGGAACTTCTACATACTCCAAGTGTCCTGCGAAGGTTATCTGATGTTTCCGCGGAGCTGAGGATCAACCGTGCTATGATAAACATTGCTCTTATTGTGTCTTGCATTCTCATTTCATCCCATTAGATGAATATGTATGCGGCATCGTGAATGGCGCAATGTGGCGGCAACGTGGCGGCAATGCGGCGGCAATGTGGCGGCGTAAATCTACAGTAATGTGTCGGACGGATAACTTCATCATTCGACTCGATCGAGCACGCGGCCGTGATGGATCTTCCAATGAAAATATGAAACTCCACATTATACTCCCCATTATTATTCTAAAACAGCTCCGATGGTCCTTCGCGTGAACTGCGATGTAAAAAATTCGCCTGATTAATACAATTCTGAAAAGCCGACAGCCGCCAGAGAAATCGAGGCTATTATTGCGCTATCAGAGGCGCCATGATGGCGACTTGATTGTAAGACCGAACTTCCGGAGAGGACGAAGTGCTGCCACATGGCCCGGAAAACCACCTGAATTCTGTCTGCGAGCCATTGAACTATCTTTCAATGATCACTTCGAGCTCCGCAAAAGGATTCCGATTAAAACTCAATCGCTTGAAGAACTCTGCGGAAAAAGCGAGCGGTTTCCAACAAATTCCCCTCACAGTATTCCCGTCCACAAAGGAAGAGCGGAATGTTGTAATGACACCGTCCTGTTCTCGTACGAGGCCTCTAGTTATGCCCATTATCTCTTCTACGTTATTGGGGAACGCTCTAACGCGAAAAAGGAACCCGTTTTTTGGAGCCGTTCTTGTACGGGCCAAAAAGGAACGGGCTAATTTTCTCCGGTATAGCGGGAACCTTATTCCTAATTGTGAGCGTGAAGTTTTGAGATTTCTGTAGCCCCCTCTCCCCCCCCCCCCGAAAACGATGGAGAGGTTTTCGGACATTTTCGGGACGCTGGCGCATCCGATCGAAATTCTGAGGCAGGGAAGCGAGACGTATAACCGGGACCTGAAGCCCTCTGAGAAACGGGGGACATGGGACACGGTGCGAGCAGAGCGGAGCATTCGTAAGCCTCTGAGAAAGAATCAGACCTCTAAACATCTTGATTGCTCGGGATTGCTCCGCACCTAACTGAGCAGTCCATAATTTTAGACTTTACACAAGACCCACTGCAAAGAAAATTTCGGTGCGGGCGTGCGGGGAGTTCGTCAATCGAATTTATTTTTTCCTGCTCGGATACTCGATGGCGTTTCTTCAACAAATTGCTTACGCAAGTTCTCAAGTTCGCAACTGTCATGTGTTCGAGATCAGGGAAGCGAGCAGAGAGGACGGCAGAGGCTTCCCGGGATCGGGAACAGCTGGGGAGCTTCCTCTTTATGAATTCTACCGAGAGTTGCTCCTTGAGACATTCGACAAGAGCAGGGGTCCGTTTGACGCGCGGCGTTGATCGACGCTTTTCATGAGAAAGCTTACTGTTGACCACGCGACGTCCTCGAGCGGGTCCTTTCTGGGAATCGGGGCGGGGGTCTCCGGAGTCTTTCCCTTGTTTCCGGGTGAAGTCGACATTCGAGACGTCTTCCGTGGTGGATCCTCCGCCTTCTGGATGGGATCGATAGCTGGCCGGTTTCCCCGTACACCTCCCGCTCCGACGAGAGGCTAGAGGTTCGGGAGCAGGCTCGAGTACGTCATCGATTTCGAGTCCTGCTTCTTTCCCGATCTCAGCTTCCGCTTCGGTCTCCAGACCAGCCTCGAGCTCTTGCTCAAGCTCGGGCGCTGGCTTAGCTTCGGGATAGTCCTTTTGCTCAGGCGTTCGCAGTGAACGGCTAACATCGGCGAGGTTCCTTGTTAGGTCATCCCTGGAGAAGTCATCTTGGATTGGTAGGCTATCGACTCCAATGTCCTCCAAATGTCTTCCCTGAATCGATTGAAAATCCCCTGCATCAAGCGCGGCAAACGACTTGCTCACTCGGCCTGGGTAAAGCGCAGGGAGTGGATGGCGATAGAATTTCAGGCGCGTTTCGTGAAGGTGGCCAAGTATTTCTGCCACTTGACGCAGCTCTTCAGGCGTCAGACTCGCGTACTGGAGGCTCGCCGCCAGATGCTTACGGAGCTTAGTACCTCGAAGAAGAGATGGGTTCTTAGCTCCGCAGTCGTCGGCAAACTTCCTCATTGCGGCTGTGCCTTCAGTATAAGCGGCGCCCTTGGCGAAAAGACAGGGATTGTTTGATGTGACTCCCGCTTCTGACCTCTTCGCCAACATGGGATCGAAGAATGATCATCTTCTCTTGCAAGCAATAGAGCAACCATCCGACCTAGTTCCCCTCGACACAAATTCTCTCGAGTTTCTC